CGCCGGGCAGCTGCGCAGGTCTGGCCCGCGTTCCCAGGTATGCCGAGCATCGGCTCTTGACCATCAACGCGCGAAGCACTGACGACGCCGTCGTCTGGTCTCCCGCGCGAGACTTGGCTGGGCAGCACAAGCTGCCCGGTGTGCGTGCAATGCGGTCTGCGCTTTGTGTCCTGTCCGCGCTCGGTGCGCCGTCCGGCGATGCGCGTGCTAGCAAGGATGCGGGGACAACGCGTGAGCATTCTCGACGAGACGCCGCCTACTGATGTCCCTGTCGCGCCTGATGGGCAGCATGACGACATAAGAATGGACGGGCGGCGTTACCGCATGTACTACATACCTATCGTGTGGCTGAGATGACGGCGGCAGCGGCAATGCGGGAGACCGAGAGACGCGCGATGGGAGGTGGCGTATTGGACGAGTGCACTCAGGAGGGGTGTGCAGTGCGAAGCTGGCGGGCGGCGGGCGACGGGCGGCGGGCGACGGGCGACGGGCGACGGGCGACGGAGGCAAAGACGAAAAGAAACGAAAATGAGAACGGCACGATGCGCGGCTGGTGCTAGCGGACGGCGCACACTACGCGGCCGTCAAGCAAGAAAACTTACCTAGGATGGCTTGCTTCCTGGGTCGCTTCGGCGGGGCTCAAGATTGGACTTGCAGGCAGGGTACGGCTTGAGGACTGGGCGCAGATATGCCAGTGCGATGTCGTTCCCTTGACATCCTTGAGGCGACGGCGTCGAGTTTGCGATGGGTGCGGTTGACCGCTGACGAGCGTAAGAGCACGGCAGAGAATGGTCTCCGGTCCCCCCGTGTCCTATTACGGAGCTCAGGCCTGTCTATGTGAGACATCTGAGTGTCTATTACAGTCTGCGCCCTGTCCCTAACACATCATGCAAGTATTCCGACACCCCCCTGTCCAGCCTTCGGAGTTAATCTGTAGCATGCAGCTTCATGGACGGAATCGCGCCATTGCACCGCTGCGTGAATGAGCGGGCTAATGTCCTGCTTCGTTACTATTCCGGCATGTGTGCGCGGCCGTGAGTATACTATAATCAAGCATACTGATCCTGGCTAAGACGCCGATCACGTTCCTAAACGTGATCGGTATCCTGGCCCAGCCGACATCTTCTCTTGTAGAAAGGCGAAGACATCAAGCATGTCTCACGTACCGGACATGTCCAGGGCCTCATCAGAAAGCTGTACGGCGGGCGGGCCATGGCCGGACCAGTCTAACGCGGACGGCCGGTAGGCATGGGCACGAGTCTGTAGCGAACAGCGCCATTGGCTGTGCGGCGCCCGCGTTTCGTCTGTCTTGCCATGGGTGCGAGCGACACTGTCTGAGAAGAGCGCGCTATGTCCGGCTCGCGGCAATGTCAAAGTACCTACCGCCATTATCTAGCGGGGCCTCAAGTGACACCGTGCGTCCAGGGGTCCGAAGACGTGCTGTACATTGGCACCCGTCGCTGCACACACGATAGCGCAGGGATGCGGCGCGTGCGCGTGCGCGGCTGACGGAGGGACGGCACGACGCGCGTGATCGAACGCGGAGGAGTTAGTTAGGCGCGTCTGCACCGTAGCGATCACGGCGAAGCGGGAGCAACAGAAGCGCACGCGTATGCGGGTCTGCGACTTGGCAGCGGCAGAGCCTACGCGGCGGGCGGAGCGCGGAGAAGATATAACAAGGGGGACTCGCCTCGTCGCTTTCCCGTGCGCCTGCGACTCTGCAGCCACCGTGCCAAGGTGAGTTGTCCCAGCCGGCCGTTGTGCATGGTGCTGACCGTGTCGTGCGCTTTGCAAGCGGCTGATCGTCTCGGACCGGGGGCGTATTGGCATGGCGGGAGGCGGGGCGCGTCTATGTAAGTTAATCTTGTCAGTCGTCAGCGGATGGACACGATGGCTGACGGCGCGCGCAGATTCGAGCGGCGCGTGAGTGCCCCCTTACGCCGCAACGGGTACGTAACCCCACCGTGCTCGCATGATGACCTGCCACCCTCGGTTTTGCTCACGTCGCGTCTGCCCGGCGCACGCATTCAAAAGCACACCGGCCGCCTCGATTGTGAAGCCAACGGACGGGGCCGCCATGCAGGGGGGACTCGGTGTTTCCAGGTATGTCGCGCCATGCGGTCCTGACTACCGACGCGCGAATGTTGACGATGTCGCCATATTTCAGCGGCGCACGCCCGGTCGTCCAGCACGCGTACACACAATGCATGCGCGGGGCAGCCCGTGCGCCGTGTTCTGCATGCAGCCGGTACGCCATCCTGCCGCACCCATCCGCCGGCCCTTGTATTGAATGCGCTAATCCAGGGTTCGCGGCGGACGCGGTGCTCACGCGAATACGGAGACGCCGCGTGCGCGTCTGCCCTGGTGCGCTGCCTCGCGGCGCGCCTGCTGACGCTTGCGTGCCGGCCGTCCGGCTGAGTTTCTTCTTCTTTTCTAGGAGCGTGCCGGCGCGTGGTGCGGTGCCGCTCGACGTGGGGCTGGTGAGAGCGCGGCATGACGACAGTGAGAGCGCGCGATAGTAAACCAGTATGAGATGTACTGTGTAGCTTACCTTGGCATGTAGCTGGGACGGCGGGCGTCTGGCGACGCGGGAGAGCTGAGCGCGGAGCGTGTGACCGGTGAGGAGAGAGGCCCGGTGTGCGTGGGACGGCGGGATGCGAGTGTGGCGTGAGGCGAGCGCGCAGGGGAACGGCGTGTTGCGCGATGCGTGGGCCAAGTGGGCACAACTCGGACCGGGAGTGCATGTGCGAGGGATCCGCCTTGAGCAGGATGGCGATGCGCCGAAGCCGGGATGATCAGATGGTGCGAGCGTCGGCGGAGACGTCGTCAGGCTGCACCCGCACGTTGCACGTACCGAAGAACGCGCCCCCTGAGCGGCCCGTGCCATCCGTCTCGAGCAACGGGTGCGGGCGCGGGACGTCTATGTGCGACCCTCCCGGCGTGTGGGTGGGTGCGTGATCTTGGTCGCGTCATATCGCGCTTGTGTGCTGACCTGCTCCTGTTCCTCTGCTCGCATGCACGCACGTCACGTCACGCCGACCGGCCGTCCCGCTTTCACGGGCAGCGCGCAGGCCGGATCCGCGTGTCTAGGTATGCCACACGTCGGCTCTTGACCGTCGACACACGAGGCGCTGACGACGCCGTCTTCTAGGCTCCCGTGCGAGGCTTTGTCGGGCAGCACACCCTTGCCTGCTGTGTGCGCGGCGCGCGCAGCGCCGTCTGCAGTACCGCGCGTCGTGTTCTGTGCGCGCCCGGTATGCCGTCTCGGCGCGTGAGTAGCGGGCTGCGATGTGTGCGCTAGTGAGGACG